ATGAGTAATTTATTCGCAATAAATTACTTATCAAATCAATTGCGAACATTGTGGATACTGTATAGACTATATATCATAATTTATAGTTTATTCTCACCGGTACGTAGTATTGTCTTCGCTGGTATCGTTGCTCTGACGGTTTTTGTCTTTCAGAATCTTGAACAAAAAATGAACACAATGTCACATATTAAATATATAAAAAAAATTGCATTTGAAGAGGTAGACGAAAAGTAGTTTTATAGTTTTTTTTACATATAGTCAAACTAAGGATTTAAATTTATCCAGCTTACGCTTAAGCGGACGTCGTACTCGCAATGTCATCTTCGACTTACTAAAGCATAAAATATAAAAAATGTAGGTACACGTCCAGCAGTTTTGTGTTGTTACTTGTTAGCTAAAAATATTAGAGTGAGTCGACCTATTATTAAACGTAAATTTAAGAACATTATCCTTACATTATCTGTGTTCTATCTCGTTGGTTTTTTACGATATTTTAATTATTAAGTGAGTAATCAGTAATGACTATAGTGAGTATGCAAAATATCAATGTTTTAAAATGCTCATAATTCACTTAAAAATGTAAATATCATAAAAATCCAAAGAGAGAACACAGATAATGTTCTTACATTTAAGTTTAATAATAGGTCAATTTACTCTAATTCTAATATGTAAGTTACAATACAAAATTGAAACTGCTGGACGAACATTTTAGTATATTATGTATTAGGTAGGTAATGACACGGAGTCTACATATTATACGGGTACAATGTACTCTTAATATAATATTCTATACTATACAATTTGAATTTATGAATTAGATTCATTCATATTTATTGAGGGGRCGGGAAGARTATAATTCTCATCAACTATACAGAGAACGAATTGATTTAAAGCTAAGATCTAATTCACATTATATGCCTTAAGGGGATAATTTCACACATATGTACCTATCCTCAAGTCCTCTTGTATCAATACTTTAAATACCTGAACGACATTGTTCAACCCTTCCAGTATATTATCGAACACCAGCGTCCCTTGGTGGGCAGCGATATTGTGGAGCGCTGTCAGGGCCTCGCGTATGTCTTCTGCTTCACGACAAGAGATGGACTCGCCGGCGACCACCGACCCGGCAATCGCGTCTTGTGGATGGATAACCAGCACCAAGTTGTTGTGGTTACCGGCAAAGTTGGCTGTCTCTATGTCACTAACCACGTTTCTGGTCTGGCTGTCGATCACGTAGAATAGTATCGTTGCACTYTCCTTCGCAGCGTGTTCRATTTCGATTAGATCTTGGCTCCAATGGTCCACTTGCTGTAAAACAYGCGAAACACAAAAAATATGATATCCAACGAATATTACAAGCTACTACAATTATGTATCATTTTATTTCGATAAGACAGTTATTTGTAAAAATATACAATACATAAAAGRGTATTTCAGTTATGCCTGATTAATTGAAGCGTTCAGTCRTTTTTGATCATATTGGAACGCGTCTGAAGATAATATTATATAATAATGATGATAATGTTTTTTTGCCACAATAAGTAATAACTATAAGTGATGTCGAGAGTTATAAATTATAATGGACTCTGGTAAGAGAAAAATCTATCCATTGGTGGAACTTGATAATTATTATTTTTAAATATACCAAAAATATTATTTGAATTATAGATATAGGTTTATAATAATTCATGCATTTACGCGTTTACCTATTTTCATATATATTGTGTGTTATGTAATAGTATGATAAATACGTGATATCGAATAATAATTTCAGCATGATACTTTATTACAAATATTACATAAAATGTAAATATTATAGAGAAAAATTCCACGATAAACAAATATCTGTACGTACATTTTATATTATTACACTTAGGTATATAATATTATGTAAATAACATTATATCAATTTAAATAAATTTCACGAAACGCCATCACGTATGACTAAATCGTTTATTTTACGTATAGTAATACCAATATAGCTAAAATATATACATGCATTTTAAATGACAAATCCAACCTAACAGTTAAACATGTATAACAGAATGCTTCAAATATATAAATGACATCAGAAAATAAAACATCCAATCTAATTTAGACGTAGCTATAGGCCTGAACACAGGAAATATCAACAGTGTGATCTAATTCTTAAGAAAAACGGATCTGTATGATCAAATTCAACTTAAAAAAAAAAAAATTGTTTCGTTTGTAATTACGTTGGTAATCAACTTATAGTTGTAAAAAGTTTTCAACGATCAAGTTTCACAACAACAAAAGTTACTAACTAATATTTATCTTTTTTGTTGATGTTTTCAATTATAAAAAAAAATGCACTATCTATACGTTCAAATAATTAAACCTATAATCTGTATCTTTTAAGTAGGTGCCTACAATAAATTTAAATTTAAAAATCTTAAAAATGTATCCAACTGTTTAGATATTGACATCGGAACATCGCAATTTAATAACAAGCAAGTAAAATTTTAACAATAATTATTTATTTTGTACTAAAAATTATTGCTGCATGATAAGTTATAATAATGTTTATCGTTTAAAACAAGAGCTTTTCATAAATGAATCTTTGTTTGACGATTTTTATTGTGTGGGATAGACAACAAGGACAGACCTTGATGAAATATTATCTTAAAAACTTTCAAATACAACTGCTACTGGTACGTTTAAATCATAGACGTCACATGACGCCATATTTAGAAAGGAACAAGTTGTGCGAGTTAGTTAATATATAAACTATAAAGCTAACCTTAAACGAAATGAATTAAACATTAATAATATATCACAATATATGTGGATAAATACAAATCTAAGTTTTACTAAAACATTTTGATACCGAGTGTAGTCTGATTAATTTCTGAAAAATGGTTTTGACGCGTAATATTTGAAATTATACTATCAAAAATTTCGAAAAGAATAATTAGCAACGTGAATATTATAATAATGGGTGCAAAACGACTTCCATTCATGTTACGTTCAAAAATTCGAACATCATGATCATATTTACTGTACCAATAATATTATGTAAGGATACTAACCGGATTGTAAAATGACACACCGGCATCTTGCAGGTACGGTATGGCTAAGTCTTTGCGCCACGTAGTTGGATTGCAGGAGCCGCCCAGGAATACGTCGTAGCTGTGGGGACTTCCTGTATTAAAGGAGGATTCGGCAATTAATGGCAAAAGCGTCGATAACAGGAGTTTGCAGAGGGTTGCCACCGTATTATTATAATCGAACATTATATATTTTTTAGTTGGCTTACTCGAGTATTTTTTTATTTCCCTGATGTGTTTCTCTTGATCTTTCTCCAACAGCCGTGAAAACTGCACAGATCTCGGTATCCTGCAGAAGAAAAGTTTATATATTGTTAAAAACAGGTAGTACATCATTGTTTTAGCGACAATCGTCAATATGCAGTTCGTGGTACATGGCACACTGCATTAGGTACCTATATGGCTATATAACCATTGAATTAAACATATGTGTCCCTCCTATCTCCTTTAAACATACGATTTTTGACCAATAAAACGAAAAGAGAAACGATGGTTCTGATATTGCGGTTGACAACACTATCGATTGAATTTTTGTACAACGCCGCATTCATAAGTTAATATGAATGTATAATGCCAGAGACAATACTATACTAACATAGGTACTTGATTTTTTATAATAAATATAAATAGATTCTATATGTCTGAATACATCATAATTTTTTATTTGTAGCCAGTGCGTTTATTATTAAAATAGTAATCAAACTAGGTAGTGCGTCATTTAATTGTGGACAATCATTAGTAACCTAACCATTATATGCCGGAGGAATTTCGGTGGCGGGAATAATATAAATACTAATCTACATAATATATACTTTTTATTTTTTAATATTATATGCTGTGCTTGTTTGTTGATCACTTAAACGTCTTTATCGCTGGAGCTAAAACTTACTCAGCTTTAAATTAACATTGCTCACTGGTGTATTTTRAGTGAGGGAGCTTCAACCCCCCTCCCCTGAAAACGTCATGTATATTTCAGAATTTAAGTAATACCTTCATTAAATACTGGCCACTTCTCATTAGCTAACAGGTGAATATTATTTTGATTTAGTTGACAGCTGATGTATGATGTCCTCTTCATCCAAAGTAGCCAAAGCTTATATATACTTGTATTTTCTAATTACATCATAATATTGACGAATGTGGGGATATTTCATATTTCAATACTCATTGCCTTAGAGTTCAAATTGTTCTCACTATACGCCGTCATATAATTTATTAATAATAGCATGTATACATCTCGTGTTTATTATAAGAATAACTATTTATTATTAAGGATAAACATTGTGTCGAGAATAGAAAATGATGTAACCTTTTTAAGTACATCTGACGTGTCGTAAATTAAAATACATAATTACAATGATTTACATGATTTTTTCACTCGTTGCGTAGTTAACATACACACATAATAATTTATAATATAATTTATTATATATTTTAGTCGTTGTGGAGTAAAACAGATAGCGATGAGAAATAACTGCATCAATGTAGTTTCTTCGGAGAACATTTTAACAGATGACCAAACACAGTAAATTTGCTCGAGAATATAAAAAATATATAGTATAATATTATAAAAGTTTAATATCAAATGGAAACATAAAAAAAATTTCAGTGTTGTACATTAATATATCATGAAAGTATGGTACCATTTTTCAAAAGAATACACCGACACATTAATTTATGGGAATTTGTCCAACTTTATTAAGGAATTATTTTGTGAGTATATCACCATTATAAATAAACGGGAGTAAATCAAATTATTAAAACGTACGACAAATGGGAAGTAATAACAAATAACAATTATTATCATTACTTAGTGAAATGAAGTATTGTTTTAATTAAGTACTATTTTAAATTGTGTATATCATAAATTCATAACATCATCACATCGGAGTCGTCGTTGAATTAACCAACCAAATAATAATAATATTAAGAATAAAATAAAAACAAAACAAATAAACTCACATAGAGCGTACTGGCAATTTATTTAATAAACATCGGCACTTTTTTAGAATCCCGCAAAAATTAATACAGCGCAAATATATTAATAACTTTTCATGTCAGTCCACACTCCACACCATCATTTTTAATAGTCCACTCCAACAGTCATCTAGGTGGTAGAGAACGTGATTAAGCAGCAGGTGGTAGTGATGCATGTTTGAGGAAAACCGCGTCTAATGACGATAATAATATAACAATCGCGATAAATTATTATGTAAATAACTCGATTGAGAAAAACATCACGATTGTTTGCCTTTGCAACGAAATCAGTCTGAAACGAATAACAATCGGAGAATTTGGGTCTGGCAACAGAAAGTTAAAAACAGATGAAACGTGTTGTAAGTTAATATAAAGTTAAGAGAATGCTACATCCGCATGTGTTGTTTCCGTCTTACAAATGTAAAATATCGCGAAAACTGTTATGAACGGGAAAGGAAAACTCAAGCTGTAATCCAAGCTAGGCAACCAAATTTTCAAACTATTTACTGTGCAACGTTGTTTTTAATTTTTCGACATCACAAATAAGAAAAAAGTTCTTATTGTTTAAGAATTCATTATTTTTGAGTTTTTCAAACTTGAATAACTTTTTTTTAGTTCCGATATCGAAAAAATAAAAACAACGTTACACTTTAAATATTCTCATCTTTATAGCGTGAAAATTTGATTGCTTAGCTTGGATTACAGCTTGAGAGATTCTTTCGCGCACAAAACAGTTTTCGAAAAGTTATACATTTGTAAGACGAAGACAACACATGCAGGTGTAGCGTCCTCTTATCTGATATCTCAGATACTCTAACGGAGGTAGGACACTAAGTTTTACGCGTATAGTGAATATTAAAAAAACCAATGGCCATAACCACATTTTTACGTCAAACTGACAAGCTAACTAATCGAGAAATCTTTAAAATCTCTACTCTACTCCACTTCATTCTGATTATTAAAAAGCCCCAGGTTAAAATTAATGATCCGCCTCAGTGTCATATTTGTCAAGAATATAGCCACACTCATAATTATCGTTGTCACTTGCTCTGCAGCTACGTAAAATGTGGCGAAGATCATTACATCGTGCACTGCATCAAATTGTAGCCTCCAGACTAAATGTGGTTTATGCTCGGGTGATTAATATAAACAACCTCCTAAAAATTATGTTCAAATCGCAARWCATGTATTAAATCATAAAAAAAACAAACATTGCAGATCCTAAAACTCAAGAGTCTCACACTCGTCGTCATTTCATCAAACTCAATGCTAGTCCATCGTATGCAAACATAACAACAGCTCAACCTACAAACAATAATTCCGAGACAATTACTTATCGAAATAAAAACATTTACTTTCCCTTCTCTCCACCTTATACATAAACTCATAATGCATTCCTTATAAATATTAACAAACATTAAAAACTAAAAGAACACTTTCAGTTCTCACTCAAATCCTATCATYATCCATTTTTCGTCCAACTGGATTCTAGGTAATCTACCAAGGCACCATTTTTTTTTATTAAAATTGAAAAATTTACAATYTGAATAACATGAATTCAATAAGTATGATTGTGTTGAWATTTTAATCATGCTTGAAGGAASAGAGAGTCAATTGGCACTATATACTATGAACAGTATGAACTAAATTTAAGCCCAGGCAACTTAAAAGTCTCTTCCTACAAACTTACTCACGAGGTGCCGTCAATGGGCGATTTTCACTTCACGCTAATAAATCCTCCTCCAATTTACTCATTGAATGA